GCCAGCCTCTGCTGAGACTCGCCCTCCCTCCAAGCAGGTGTCTGACAGATGAACACTCAGGAGCAAGAGGCTGTCGTGATTCTGGGCTTGTGTAAATGTAGCCTAGAGATGCATTGTTGGGCAAGGGGCGATTGCATGAACCGAGAAGTGGGCCTAAGTGCAGGAATGTGACAAACCTGTGGGCCAGCAAGCTCCTGAGAGCATAGACAGCTTCTTAAGTAACTGAGCTTGAGCGTAGGTGGGGGCCAAGTGAGAACGTTTGCGAATGGCCTATGTTTGCCGTGCCAGATAAGAGCATGCTGCACTGCCAATGTCAACGCTCACCCGAGATGGTGCACTGGCCTGGCCAGACTCCTCCCCCATGGCCTGATACACAACGCCAGCCTCCTGCTGAAAGGTGACACTCTGAGGGCTGGGCTCCCTTAGTCACCCTGTGGGCGCCTGGCAGAGGCACATTAGAATGGAGCCGATGGCTGTGTCCACAGTGGGGGTAAGTGGCAGCAAGCACCCAGGGGTTTATCTTGGCGGGAGGACAACTCCGAGGGTGGAACAGGATTGCTGGTTTAACGCTGACGTTCTGCCCCCTTTGTCCCTCAGAGACCTTGCCAGGTATGGGTGTGTGGGGGGAGCTGGAAGACATACTCATGACCCCCTCCGTCCCCAGCCCGTGTCTGGCCACTGGCTAGCACCTGTTGGAACCGAGCAGTTTCCTGCCTTCATTATGGCCAGAGCCGTGATGGCTCTGGCACCAGACAGCTGTTGGTTGGGTTTGGTTTGCAAGAAATAAAAATAGCTTGGCTGGTGCTCGGTTTTTGGGTCAGCTGGGTTGTTTCAGCGAAGAGCAGCGGCGTGGCGTGACATGGTCCACAAAGTTTCGTTGGAAGGAGGACTCTGCCTTTCCTGCCCATGGAATCGAACCACATGCACAGTGCTCCTTCTAGACTACTGTGCCTGTCTGGCGCTGTAGTTTACACATCGCTCTGCTGCTCCACCTTCCAGGTACACAGCGAGGGGTCTGGTTTTAGAATTGTGTTTACGTGCACGTTGTAACACCCTCTGCCGTGTGGAATTTCTTTCTATCCAGTTTGGGTAGTGGGGCGGCAGGAAAGGTGTGGGCGTTGGGCCTGGGTTTGAACAAAGTCAAGGTACTGAGCTTCTCTGAGCCACAGTTTACCAAACCGTAAAATGCCACCAAAATAAAGACAATAGCGATAATACTATCCATCAAGTTCTGAGGACCGGAAGCTTGAAGGCCCTGCACTCTTGATGCTTTCTGTGTGTGTAAATACTGTATACGTATATGTGCTACTCAAACAGCAACTTGTGAGGCGGTATAAATGGAGCAAGAATTAGTATCCTCATTTTATAGATGAGGAAACTGAGGCTCAGAGAGGTTCTTTGGGAGTTTCTCAAATAGTTCCCCCATTTGTGTCTAAGTACTTGGGAAAAGTTCTCGTGTTGTGGCCTTTGGGTCCCACGTCATTACTCTGCTGAGAAAAGGGAAAGACCCTGAGGTTTTTTGGTGCAGGGAACTCTTGCAGGGTAGCTTTGGGATATGAGATCCTCTGGCTCCTCTCAGAGTAACCGCAGATCTTAAAGGCAGAGTGAGAGAGGGGGCCAAACTGGGGAGACCTCCTGGCCACTCCATTCATTAGAGTTTGGCAATTTCACCCACCGAGCTCAACTGCCTGCCATGCGTGGGTCTGTCCATCTGCCCGTCCTCTCAGTCCCTCTCCACGCACTGCCTTTCCATTCTTCCATCCCGATCAGCCATCCATTCGTCCGGCCAGCTGGGGTTTCCTGAGCAAGTTCCCAAAGAGCTTGTATAATGTCAAATTTGCCTGATCAGATTGGTTTCCCCATGGGAATCAATGTAAAGGCTCATTCTCAGGGTTCCAGAATCCCAGACCATTATCGCATGCATACTTTTGCCTTGATGCTACTCTTTTGTCTTCTCGTCAATAACTCACGTGTTTTTCTGTTTGGGGAACGGGGGGCATTTCAATGTTATGCACTTACTATTTCTTATTTCTCGCAATTTCAAATGTGCACATTTAAAATGTGCCTTCAATTGGCCACATTTGTATAAGGTGTCCTGCTCGGCACTATACTTCAGAACTGCCATGGAGACACCCAGCTTATTCCTCCAGAACTCCTGAATACAGTTTCAGAAATGACAGCCTAAAATCAAAATTCTAACTGGACTCAAACCATAGGAGGTGCTCAGTGTGTGTGCCTGGATTTATCATTCTTTCGGGACATCCTTTTTGAGCACCTACTGTGTACCAAGCAGCAAGCTGGGCAAGAAGGATCCAGAAATGAATGACAGTTGGTCCATGTGCCCTAGGGGCTCTGAGTCAGGGGGGTGGGGGGTGGGAGGGCGGAGGGGGGACGGGGGGGTGGGGGGCGGGGGGTGCCGTACCAGTGAACTGGCCATTCCCCCGCTATATGTTACCACAGGAGAGGTCTGTCTTCACTGGCTAACTTGGTGGGAGGGGCTCAGCAGAGAGCATGGAGGGAGCTGCTGCAGAGTAGTGAAAACCCTTGGCCCATGTGGCCAGCAGAGGGCCTGAGAAGGGGGAGTAGCCACTTGGCAGGGGTCTGGAAGGACCCTTAAGTCCTTCCGTGCCTTCCTGCCTGAGGAGGTAGAACTGTAACCTGCTCGAGCCTCTGAGGAAGCCAGCATAGCTTTTGCAACATTTTTGGCAATGCCGTCTGCCAATTCCTGATTTCAAAATTTGTCCTGAGGGCACACGTGAGCCAGCAGTTTCAGCACTCTGACCCTTCTCGCTGCTGCTTTTTAAGCCTGCTCTAGAGGACTTACTGTGTGCAAGAGGTGAATAAGAAACAGGCCCTGTCTCCAGAAGTCCCTGCCTCACCATCTAGAAGCAGGAGGGAGAGGCGGAGTAGGAGCAGGAGTTAAAGCGAGTGGTTCTCACGGGAGGGTGGGCTTGTCCCCCAGGGGCCTTTCTCATTGTCTGCAGATACTTTTGGTTGTCACAACCGAGGGGAGTGTGCTACTGGGATCTAGCGGGTAGTGGCTAGGGATGCTTCTCAATGTCCTACAATGCACAGGACAGACCCCTACAAAGACTTCTCCAGCCCCAAGTGTCAATAGTGCTACGACTGAGAAACCTTGGGGTAAGAGCAAGGCTCGGGCTTCAGAAAGTTGGGGTCCTGCCATGAACATGTGTGTCCATGTATGTGCTTGTCCCTGTTTTCAATTCTTTGGAGATACACCGAGGAGTGAAAATACTGGGTCATATAGTAATTCTATGATCAACTTTTTGAGGGACTACCAAACCGTTTTCCACAGCAGCTAGATCATTTTACTTTCCCACCAGTGACAGACAAGGGTTCCAGTTTCTCCACATCCTCACCAACACTTCCTGTTTTCTTCCTTCCCTCCTTCCCTCCTTCCTTCCTTCCCTCCCTCCTTCCTTCCTTCCTTCCCTCCTTCCTTCCTTCCTTCCCTTCCTTTCCTCCCTCCTTTCTCTCTCCCTCTCTCCCTTCCTATGTCTTTCCTTCTCTCTCTTTTTGATTATAGTCATCCTAGTGGGTGTGAAGTGGTACTTTGGAATTTTGATTTCATTTCCATGATGACTAAGGAAGCATCTTTTCACGAGCTGTTGGCTATTTGTCGTCTTTGGAGAAATGTCTGTTCAAGCACTTTGCTCATTTTTAAATGAGTTGTTGAGTTGTAAGAGTTCTGTATATATTCTGGATACTAAACCCATGTCAGATATATGATTTGCAGATATTTTCTCCCATTCTGTAGGCTATCTTTTCACTTTCTTGATAATGCCCCTTGGTGCACAAAGAACTTTTAATTTTGGTAAAGTCCAATCTGTTTTTTCTTTTGTTGCTTGCGCTTTTGGTATCATATCTAAGAATCTTGCCAACATCCAGGTCGTGAAGATTTACCCCCGTGTTTTCTTCTAAGAGTTTTATGGTTTTAGCTCTTCTCTTTAGGTCATTGATCCATTTTGAGTTAATTTTTGTATATGGTATGAGTTGGGGGTCCACCTTCATTCTTTGGCACGTGGAAATCGGTTGTCCCAGAACATACGTTAAAGAGACTGCTCTTTCCCCCACTGAACGGTCTTGATACCTTTGACAAAAATCAAAAGGCCATAGATGTATGGGGTTATTTTTGGACTCTCAATTCTATCCCATTGGTCTGTATGTCTATCTTTATGCCACTACCACTCTGTTTTGACTATAGTTTTGTGGTAAGTTTTGAAATTGGGAAGTATGAGTCCTCCAAGTTTGTTCTTTTTAAATACCGTTCTGGCTATTTGGGACCCCTTGCAGTTCGATATGAATTGATACATCACTTTGGGTAGTATGGCCATTTGAACAATAGAGTCATGTGTCACTTAACAATGGGGAGACGTTCTGAGAAATGCGTCATTAGGCGATTTTGTCATTGTGCAAACATCCTAGAGGCACTCACACAAACCTGGATGATACAGCCCACTACACAACTAGGCCATATAATACTAATCTTACGGGACCACTGTCGTGCATGCTGTCTGTTGTTGACTGAAACGTCAAGTGGTGGGCGACTGTAATAAGTCTTCTAGTCCATGAGCATGGGATGTCCTTCCATTTATTCAGGTCATCTTTAATTTCTTTCGGCAATGTTTTGTAGTTTTCAGTGTATAGGTCTTTCACCTCCTTGGTTAAATTTATTCCTGGGTATTTTATTCTTAGGGATGCTATTGTAAATGGAATTACTTTCTTAATTTCCTTTTCAGATTGTTTATGGCTGATGTATAGAAACCCAATTGCTTTTTGCATGTTGATCTTGTATCTTAAAATTTGCTTAATTGGTTTATTATCTCTAGTAGTTTTTTTGTGTGTATTGATTCTTTGGGATTTTCTCTATATAGGATCATGTCATCCGAGAAGAGAGATGATTTTATGTCTTCCTTTCCAATTTGGATGCCGTTTATTTCTTTTTCTTGTCTAATTGCTCTGTCTAGGACGTTCAGGACAATGTTGAATAGCAGTGGTGAAAGTGGGCACCCTTGTCTTACTCTGATCTTAGGGGGAAAGCATTCAGCCTTTCACTACTGAGTATAGATTAGCTGTGGGTTTTTCATAAATGTGCATTATTATGTAGAAGTTTCTACCTATTCCTGGTTTTCTGGACTTTTTATCACGAAAGGCTGTTGAGTTTTGTCAGGTGCTTTTTCTGTGTCAATTGAGGTGACTGTATGGTTTCTTACTTTGTTCTGTTGGTGTGGTTTGTTACCTTGATTGATGTTGAACCACCTTTGACTGACTTTTCTTTCAAAAGAGACTTGATGACCTTAAAAGAAAAACCTTCTGACCCTGTGTATTACTTAGAAAATACCCTTGACCACATTTCAGCAAATTCTGTTGCTCAAAATGTGCAAAGAAGTACTTGGGTCATGTAATTCTGGGAAATCTTGAGAACCTTTCCATTTCTTTTAAGAACATTGTGTTGCAATCAAAAAAGAAAAAGCCTTTTAGATACTAAATTGACATGCTTGAGCTTTATGATTCTGCTTTTTTAATGCTTCCAGCATATAACTGTGGCAAAATTGGTTCCAAAATTTCAGTGCGTTCAAGTCGCATTTTTGTTTGTTTGCTTTTTAACAACATTTCCTTCAAATAAGAATGATGTACTCATTAAAAGGACAGAGTTAGCGTGGTGAGACATGGGTTCGAAATCAGAATATCTGAATTCCTTTATTTGACAGGCTGAATTTTTGTCCATCATGAAGCTCTCTCTATACCAGGCACTGTTCTAGACCCTTGGTCTTGTTGAGCCTTTGTTCTAGTTGTGAGCATACCCCACGTCACGTGTGTTAGCGCCGTGGAGAAAAGAAGCCAAGGTGCCCTTCCTCCTTCCAGGACCATGATGATGATTATGCTAAGAATACAATGATGATGATGATGATAGTGATGAAGATGATGTTGACAGAAGCAACAATCCCATTATATCTACAAATTGGAACATAGTGAAGAGTCTCTTTTTTAAGATATCAGCTTCATTGAGATATAGTTCATATACCTTACAGTTCACTCATGTAAAGTATATAATTCAGTATTTTTTAGTATATTCACAGAGTTTTGCAACCATCACCACCATCAATTTTAGGACATTTTCGTCATTCTAAACAGAAACCTTGTACCCTTTAGCCCTCACCCCCATCCCACTTACCCTAGGCAACCAATCTTTCTAGCTCTGTGAATTTGCCTCTTCTGAGTATATCATATATATGGAAGCATACAGTATGTGGTCTTTTGTGACTGGCTTGTTTCACTTAGCATAATGTTTTCAATATCCATCTATGTTGTAGTATATGTCAGTGTTTCATTCCTTTTATGGCTGAATAATATTCCATTCTATGGATAGACCATATTTTGTTTATCCATTCATTTGTTGATGGACATTTGTTTGGGTTCCTATTTTTGGGATATTATGATCTGTAACAGAGTCCTTTAACATACGTGATCTCTTTCAGTTCTCTCTCACATGCATGTTTATGATTTACGGGGAGCGTGTGTTAGTATACCTAAATTAGAGATAAGAAACTGAGATCGAGAGGGGTTAAGGAACGTGCCCCAGACCACAGAGCATGTTATGGGCAGAGCCAGGAAGAGAACCCTTTCTCCACACTCTGTCCTGTGCTCCTCCCCTCCAGCTTTCTCAGCTGAATTCATGGAAACCCAAATGCCTCTCGTCCTTTGAGAGAGACATAACTCAATTATGTAGACCCTAAAATGTCTCTCCTTTTCTCCTTACAGATTTTCTGAATGACCCTGCTTCTTTTTCTATCTTGTCTGATTTTATCCTGCCTGACCTTTTCCTGGTTGAAAATCTGGGGGAAAATTATGGACTCCAAGCCGGTCACCAAGAGTAAATCGGAAGTAAGCTTCAGCCCAAGCCAGGAGCCCTTTCCCACCTCAGATGGCTCAGGGGAGCCACCCCGGGAAAACGGCGACAGCAGCTCTCTGCCAAGGACTTCTAAGCAGGCTGAGCCAGCCTCCCACAAAGGTCCAGAAGACGCCTGTCAGCAAAGAATATCCCAGCTACCCTCAGACCAGAATCCCCCAAGAAACCCCCTTTCCTCTAATGACACCTCCCCAGCCAATGCGACAGGGACAGAAGGACTGGAGGTCCCAGATACCAATGACCTGTCCTCACCAGCCAGGCCCCAGGGCCAGCAAGCCACAAGCCCCTCCAAAGAAGACGAGAAGCAGGCACACATCAAGAGGCAGCTAATGACCAACTTCATCCTGGGCTCCTTTGATGACAACTCCTCTGATGAGGACCCTGGTGCTGGCTTGTTCCGAGAGTCTTCCCGGAAGGGCAGCCGGGCCAGCCTGGGGGCCCTGTCCCTGGAGGCTGCTCTGACTGCGGGCGAGTCTGACACCCTCCTCCCTATTATAAGGTAATGTGTCCTCGGTCCTCATCCTGGGAGGTGCAGAGTTCGGGTGGGCTCTGCATCCTTCCCACTCTGTCAAGCCATTTGTGGATGCCAACACTTCGAGGGTAGCTATGTGAAAAGAAGATAGAAGCTTTCCATCCTTTCAGAATCATTTACTGAGCATCTGTTGCGCGTACAGGGCCTCATGCCAGGAAACTGGCTTTCCAGAAGATCTCAGCCTAGTTAGGGAAGATGACCTTGTGTGTAACTAGTTATAATTCAAGGCTGGCAAGAACCACAAGGGTTGATGGGAGCCTGGAGGGAGGGACAGTTTCCCTGCTTCCTGAAGAGACATTCATTCATTCATTCATTCAACAGGTAGCTAACAACTCAAAAACACATCTTCTCCCAGTGGTGCCTTAAAAGCAGGAACTCAGACACTATAACCACAGCCATCAATTTGATGGCTGGAAACAAATGCCTGAAGGTCCTTTACACGTGGGACCATCCCAGGGGTGCAGTTGGTGGCTTTGTTTCTTTGTTATCAAGCTTTGCCACTTCTGCTCCCAAATTACAAACTGAATACAGTAGTTCCAGGTAGAAAACCTGGGAAAAAATAGGAGGGCGGAGAGTAGAAAAGAGCCACCAGCCACAGCTTGGCCAGCTGGAGAGAACCCTTGCTCTGTTCGGGAGCTCCTTCCTTCCTTCCTTTCGTCTGTTTTTCTTCCCAGGGGTGCAGGCTTACCGGCTGTTCTTTGAAGCACCTCTTGTACTCACTTTACCAAAATGGGAAAAACTTGTCCGAGGAAATGGGTTCTTTCATAGGCACGGTGTTCCCGGTGAGCTTGATTTTAACCCTGGTTACTGGAAGGAGGAAATAGAGACACAGGAAGATGCAAGCGTTCCCTCTACTGACGGTCTTCCAGGGGAGACTGTTTTGAGTTTCTGGAAGGACTAAAGGAAGAGAAGGCTTCGGGGTCTAGTACAAAGAGCGCAGTCTTTGGAGTCAGAACCCAGAGTTGGGTTCAGCGCTGGCTCTGTCACCCACACCCTGTGACCTCGGGCGTGGCACTCCCCCTCTCCCGGCTTCAGTCCCTCATCTGCAAAACGTTGAAGGGATTAAATGTGATAACATTTGTAAAGTATGCACAGAGTTTGGTGCACAGCAGGTGCTTAATAAACACTAGATTCCTCCCCAGCTCTTTTCCTGGGCCTGTCCTTGGCCCACCGGCACCCACTTCACCCAGCACTTGAATTTACCCAGAGCCATCCCACCCGCCTTCTGCCTGCAGTTTATGTAAATTACCCATTTATTCCGTCTAACAACGGTACAGGGCCACTGGTGGATCCCCATTTTACAAATGAGAAAAACTGAGGCTCAGAGAGGTGAAGTACCTTTCCCAAGATCACACAGCTAGGAAGTGGCAGCACCAAGTTTCAAGGTCAGGTCTGTCGGACTGCAGAACCCAGGTTCCGCTGTGCCACGGTGGGCGCTCTCCCATGATCTCCTATATTCTCTCCCCTGCAAACCCCTTTCTTTCCCTCGATGTGGCACTTACAGCAGGGGTTAGGGAAAAGCAGTCCGTTGAACCAATTCACCCAAATTGGTGGACATCAGAGATGATGTTAGAAGTGGTTGCCCAATGGGAGGTCGCTAAGTGGTATCAAAGTAGGAGGGAGGGTGAGATGCGTGTATCACAATAGCTCCAGCAGGAAACAAGACAGATGGTCCTACCAGGGAGATGGAAGTGTGCAAATAAACAGGTAAACCGAGAGGATGGTGTTCAAGAGCGTCCAGTGCCAGGAAGGAAACAGGGTACAGGAGACGGAATACCTGAGGGGATCTATTTTAGAAAGACGTGGTCAGGGCAGTAAAGAGCCCTTGGAAGAGGCAACTTTCAGGCTAGACCAGAAGAGGCCAGCAGAACCTTCTGCCATAATGGAATATTATGGAAAAGAATGTTCTAGAACTGTGCAGTCCAATACAGTAACCACTAGTCACCTGTAACCATTGAAATTGAAATGTGGCTAGTGTGACTGAAGAACTGAATTTTTAATTTAAATTTAAAAAGCCTCGTGTGGCTGGTGGCTGTTGTATTGGACAGTGGGGGTCCAGCCCTGAAAGAGAAAGAAGCAGCTGTGTGAATTTCTGCTGGTGCTGATTAAGAATTTATCAAATAGTAACATTGTTACTATTGCTATTCTCTCCTGAGTCTTCCATTCCCAGAAAGTTGTGAGGATTAAATGAACTAACATTTCTAAAGTACTTAGCAGGAGAATAAAGCACTCAGTAAATGCTAGGTTAGAATATGGAGTGGGGGCAAGTCTCCAGCTTTCCACTCTGTCTTCCACCGCTACTTGGAGGGGTATTTGCTGGTTTGTGCTTAAACCACAGCTTTTCTGAGCTGGTGAATTTGTAAAGGCAAAAGATACTTAACTAAGGCCCTATCTTTGCATGGCCATGAGCCAAAATATTAAGTGAATTTTTTGCTCTTGTCTCTTCAGTGCCTAGAAACTAGCATTGTAAGTAAATCATTTATTCTTGCTTTGTCCCAGCGAAGGACTGGGAGGAGGGTCGGGGGATCTTGGTTTTTATAAACCGGAGGCACCAAATGTTGAGATGAAGGCACATTGCAGAGTGGTGGGAGATGCAAAGGGCCACGATGGGGGCGCAGGGAGGACTGATGTGCTGTGTGACCTTGGGTAGGTCCCTTACCCTCTCCGAGCCTCTAGTTCCTCATCTGTAGCATATGGGCACTGGATCAGCCCCTGAGGTGTGACCCCCGGTCACAAAGCTCCCTAGGCACACAGTTCCTTTTGTCCCCAATGGATGTGCTTTTCAGAGTTGGGAATCTACAATTTTAGCACCTAGGGTCAGCTGGGGCACTTCTCCTGACACCTCCCAAGATGCTGGCGTTTCCATGAGGAACATTTCCAGCCTCAACCAAGTCCCCGAATCAGAGGCCTCCAATGGAGGAGACCCTCCGGTGTTCGTTGTTTCCAGTGAACTGGAATGAGAGACCTACTTGGAAGCGTCTTCAGGGCGTGATGGCTCAGACACTCGTCCTAGTGCCATGGCCTCTGGTGGTTGGCTGGATGAAGAATTATGTCAAACCTGTGCATTCCAGCCTGTTGGGAACAGCCATGCCATATCCGAACGAAGCCGAGCGTTCTGTTGTCCTATTGTAGTTTGGTATCTTGGCATCTTTGGGAATCTCAGTAGCCTGGCGTTTGGTGGTCCTCTGTTGACCCTTTTGCTCACACCTACTGGCAGGGGCTTGGGCCAAGTCTCTGAAGGGATGTTCAGGGGGACCCCCCCTTCCCCTCCAAAAAAAACGCCTGCAGAGTGTTGCTTTGTGGAGGGCCGCTCCTGGGCTGCTTCTCCTCTACAGGCGGTAATGCCTTTTCCTGGGGACCCACAGGTCAAAAGCTCCTTTGGGATGTGGCTCCTAAGAGCGGGTGGGCAGGCTGGTGTGCTGCCGGCAACCAGCCAGAGCATCAGGAAATGGAGCCTGACCTCCTAGAAGGCAGAGGTGGTCACGGAGTCCTTGTTAGAATCCAAGAAGGTCCTTTTATTATTAGTTTATTCCTCATAAGTTGTTTAATCATCTGCACCCTCTGGCAAATCTCCTAACCTTTGGAGGCCCGGTTTCTGCAAAATGGGAGCAGGGAGTCGGCGTTTGGGCTAGTCCTTCCGGCCCTGATCTAATACCTTCCCCATTTCAAAGATGGGAAACTCACACCTGGGGTGTGTATTCCAGGGCTCTGGGCTCACGTGGAAACCAGAGCAAAGAAGTGAGCCATGTCTGTGGATCTTCCCTGCCCCTGGCATTGTCCTCCTGGAGACATTTGGCCTCTGTGGTGCCCCGAAGGTCACCTTGTGGCCCACACGGGCCTCTTCCTGCCAGGCCACCAAGTGGGAGACTGACTAGGCACGGATGGAAAATGCATATGTTGGGGCCGGCCCCATGACTGAATGGTTAAGTTTGTGCACTCCGCTTCGGCGGCCCAGGGTTTCACCGGTTCGAATCTTGGGCACGGACGTGCCACCGCTCATCAAGCCATGCTCAGGTGGCGTCCCACATAGCACAACCAGAGGCAGTCACAACTAAAATATACAACTATGTACTGGGGGGCTTTGGGGAGAAGAAGAAGAAGGGAAAAAAAGAAGATGGGCAACAGATGTTAGCTCAGGTGCCCGATCTTTAAAAAAAAAAAAAAAAAGAAAAAGAAAATGCACGTGTTTAATTTTGTGCTTTGGGAGGGAGCTATTTTTGACACAGTCTTCAAAGGGGTCGTTTTCTTCTTGTTGTGCCCTCCCCATCCCAGAATACTCAGACTTGCATCCTGACTCTGGGCATTTGCAATAACTGTCCCATCTGACCTGAGCGCTCCCTTTCCCATCCTTCCCCAGACTTCCCTCCAGGGTCACACAGGGCCTGTGGCGCTTGGTTTAGTGCTTTGCTGTCGCCCTCTTGAGATTCTTCATGGCTTTTGGACAAGGGGCTCCACATTCTCCATTTGCACAGGGCCCCGTAAAGTCTGTAGCCAGTCCTGCCTCCACCTCTGGCTCTTTGCCCATCCAAGTCACCCTCTCTGAGGGCCTTCCCTGTCCCCTCCCCACCTACGGAGTATTCCCCGCGTGCCCCCAGTTTCTTGATCCATCACTCTGACGTGTTGTTTTCACAACCTTTAATCACTCCTTGAGGTTGTCTTGGATCTCCTTCTTTCTTTACCTGGTCATTACCCGTCTCCCGCACTGGACTGCAGACTCCATGAAAACGGGGCCGTATTTATGGGGTCTCTGCTTTTCCCCACTGCCTCGCCTAGTGTGGGTTCACGGTAGACTTTGAATTTGAACGCCTGAATGAGACGAGCAACCCAAACTTGCTGAAGACAGAATTCTGCCTTCCCGGGGCACGGAGAGCACTTGATCATGAGTCTGGGAATGGAGGAGTGAATGGATGGAGGAACAGGCATTTTGTTGTTGCTCTTCAGCGGAAATTGCATTTTTGTTTTCATCAAGTTCTTTTTTGCATAAATCTTGTGACTTCATAGGCTAGTTCTGAGGTTAAACTGTAATTCTGACTTTTTCTTCTGCCTTTAATAGGCAGTCTCACCGGCCCTTCCATTTCCCCACCTGACGAGGGCTAAGATTTTAGATCCAATGATTTGTGCTGTCTGTTCAGGTCTCCCCCCTCCTCCACTGCCATCTCTTCCCTTTTGGGTTCGTCTCAGGCCAGGGGTTGAGGCTCGGCCTTTCCTTGGACTTAGAAGCAGTCCCCGAGGGTTGGAATTCCATGCGACCCTTGGAAACAGAGCTGCTGAGGACGTTATGTGATGGGGCAAACAGTTGCTCACCCATGATGACATGAAGGTGACAGGGTAAGCCCGTTTTGTTTAAGAAGCATCGTGAGGTTCCTACGCGGTGGGCCCGGGCTGAGATACCCCGTTCAAAGCAGCCCCTGACTAGCTTGTCACCCCAACAGCTGTACCCGCTGGGGTGCGTGTGTGGATTGAATGGATGGCCCAGGTTCAGGATCGCCCACCCACCGCCCTGAAATTTAAAGTCATGAAACTGACATTCCTAAGCTGGCGGCGAGCTCATTCAGCAGCGAACCCGCCTTGGATAGAGGTGAATTTATTCATAGTCTTGATTCATCCCATTTTGTGTGACTATTCATGCCGTCTGCTGCTGGAATATTAACGTGGTAATGTGTAGGAAGGAATTATAGGAAGATTTACCTTCCTGAAAAAAAAAATTCCCCAATTCCAGAGCACATTGGGCCCTGGGAGTTTCGGATAAGGGATTGTGGACAGGTGCATGCAACATGCTTAGAACATGCCCAGGCACACAGTAAGCACGAAAAAGGCTTGTGCCGAATAAACGTGTGTGTGTCACTGGAGAGACAGTGAGGGTGCCCCCAGACAGTTAACAGTCTTTGTCTTTACGTGGTACGTTTCTGAGTAATTTAAATTTTCTTCTGTGTTTCCTAACTTTCTGCTGTAAATATCCTTGTTATAATATAAGTTTTAACAATGTTTAATAATAAAACCTTATAAAGTATTGAGGGGAAAAGTGAACCAGTCCTGTCGCTGCCTAGATAAGAAGCTGAGGCCCAGAGAAGTTCAGGAGTCTGCCCGAGGTCTCCCAGCAGGATAATCATGGGCCCGGGCCTGGACTCGATCTGAACCCAGACCCTCAGCAGACGCAGATCAGAAAGTGTTCTGCACACTCCCAGGGTTCATGCTGCCGCCTCACCTGGGCTCCAGCCAAGGCACCTCCGCCTTCCTCCTAACTTGTTCTTTCCGTTAGTGGGAAGTGTTAGGAGATGAGCAGTTTATTGGGGCGACCATTCAGCTGTGTGACCTTGGGGACATCACCTACCCTCTCGAGGGTTGGACTGGATGCTCGGACGTCCTTTGTGGCTCTAACAGTCTTTGCTTTTGTTTCTTTGTATGTGGAAGGGTGGGTGGGCAGCTGGATGATGGGGAAGAGAGCAGTGGGAAAATTGGGAAAAGTTTGTTAATTTATAACCATTTTCCCCTTGGCAAATTACCACAGAAAGTCTGGGTTCTAGGCAAGTGTAAGAGCAATCTAAGAGATGAAATGGTCAAGCGGAGAAGCTAAGGTCTGTCCCGCCCATCCATTGGCTGGGGAGCATTTATTGCAGCCCTGCTGGGTGCCAGGCCTTGCAGTTGGCACTGTGGCCGCATAGACACCCGGCTCCGTCATGGGTGGAGAGAGTAGTGGGGTGGTCAGGAGCATTCTCATTGGAGGCCAACTGAGGGCTGGCATGCTGACTCCTCCACTTAGCTATCGTGTGACCTGGGGCCGAGCTGTTACCTTCCGTGCCTTAGCATCCTCTAAAATGAGGTCACAGTGGTACCTACCTCACAGGGCTGGGGTCAGGCTTAGTGGAGTTACTGTGAGCACAGCACTTACAGCAGTGCCCACGGTGCAGTCACTGTCATTAAATACAAAGCACAGCGTCACAGTAAGGGCCCAGGACCCGCAGTCAGACAGGTCTGGGTTCAAATCTCAGACCAGTCCCATGACCTCTTTGAGCTGCAATTTCTCTCTCTGTTGAAGCCAGATAACGCCAGTGTCTACCTTGGAAGCATGTTGAGACCACTCGGGAGGAAGGCCCAGAGTGGGTGGCCCCGAGGCGGCCTCGGTTGCCATCCATTGACTGGGCCTCTCTCAAAGGTCTTGCCTGTGGCCACAGCTGTTCCCGAGCCCTGCCTGGCATACACCTTTAAAGGAAAGCAACTTGTGTCCACAGAGGAGGAAGAGAAATTTAAGAGGCAGGAGAAGTGGCCCTGATTAAGGATAAACTACAAACCAGCACACAAGTGCTGGGTATTTCCCCTGCCACGTCCGGGTCTGCTCGCTTCCATGCTGGGAGCGTTGCATTTAAGAACTGCTTAGCAACACAGACCTCAGATTCCAGGAAGGCAGGTGAAGGTCTGTGGGGTCTGGACATGAAGGAGGGGGCCTGTCAGAGTGAAGACACATCAGAAAAGCACAGTGACATCTGGGACCTTACCTCCTTCTCCTTGTCCCAAATAGAGTCCTGGGTGGGCTTGCGGTGGGCGCCTCCCCAGCTCCTTCCTGTTCATTGTCTGCACCTGCACCTGTTTTCGTCAGCTCTCAGTAGGGAGCAGCTCATGAAACTTTAAATTGTCTACACATATTTTCATTTGTCCCTAAATGGAATGTCATGGATCTTTCTATAATGTTTTAATTTATTTATTCAGTTATTGATTTAGGAAGGGACCAGCAAAAACCCCATTTTCAAATCTCTTTAGCTCCTGAGATGTTTTCTGGGAGCTTGAGATAAAGGGGTCCCTGTCCGAGCGTTGTTCCATTTGCGGATGGATATTGAGGTTTGGGGAATGCTGGCTGTTATATTAATATGGTACAGAGGGACTAAATATTTTTACTTTCCCCTCTGCCTTAAGCGTCAGTATCCCATTTTAGAAAAATCGTTCACTTCTGCCCTCTACTTAATGTAACATTTCCCCCATCATAGGTGGAAAGGGGTTATTTTTCTTTTATTGAAAGCACATTATATGTGGATGATTTTACAGATGAGGACGTGGAAAGAGAGAGAGAAGGGGTTTGTTCCAGGTCACACGGCAGGTAGGGACAGGCCGGAGGCCACCCTCTGCTCAGGCCTTTCCACCATGCGGCTGGTCACCGTATGTGCGTTTCCTTGCTGATTTTGTGTGCTGTGCTGTCAGTGACCTGGGTTTTCCCTTGGCAATACCAACAAGTTAAATTTAGCCCCTGATAAGTCTAAGCAGAAGGGCTCATAGCACGAAACTGCAGCTATAGCCAAGTTTGAACCGTTTTATTGAAAATCCCAACTATGGATGTTTGTATGCCGGTGATGTTATGCATACGAGTGTATCTTATTCTTTTCTTCTCATCTTCTATTCCCTAATAAAGGAGGCAGAGAAAAACCCAAGTCATCATCACTCTGGTGACATGCCAAGCCCAAACGTCTCAGCAAAATCCCTTCCTTGGGAGCCCTGGGTGAACGCAGGTGTGTCAGGATGTCCCCACGGCTGTGTTAGCAGAGAAGTGACACTGTCCACTCAGTGTCCAGTGAGTGCTGGGGTTTTGTCAAAAGAGAATAAAACCCTAGAGCAACGCAAGTAAACTGGCGAGCCTTCTCCCACTCATCATCCTAACTGACTTTGGGTAGGGCAGGAGTGGGTCGAAACACCTTCATTTCCTGATTTTAATTGTTTCTTCTATGTTGAGGTGGTTACATTTAAATGTGGGCGATGAATACTTTTTGGTTTTGATTTGAAACTTAGAAGAAAAAAATTGGCCTGAGGTGGCTTCTTTTTCAGAAAGAGTGTAGACAAGGTGATGAAGAACCTTCTAGAAACTCTGAAGAACTGAGAACTTTGTTCACCCGTTGCTTGTTGAATCATTATTTAATATGTGGTTAGAGCACAGCTAGCCAGCACCCTCGGGCAGGGCTGCTCTGAGGACTCCA